TGTGTTTGTATGCACATGTACACACAAGGATGAACTCAAGGTAACTTCATACACAGATATGAATAAAGACTTCCATGCATAATTATACAGGGTTCCTGGTTGTATGATCCCTTTGTGTGTACAGATTTACAGATGTTTGCACAGTATGTTAATGCAAGGCTGCTTCTCACAAATCAGGAGACTATATGAACACAAATTCTTGAGGAAACGTACATGTGCTTCTCTATCAGTGCCATATGATTCCTTGATAGCAAAGTTGTTTAAAGGAACAGAAACCTAATACGTGTTGTAGTTCCACAACATATGCAAATATGCATTTGCAAGGAAATAGCTTATTAAACTTGTAGCCATTCTAAGTATCATCATTAACATGGAGACAACCTCTCATTGGATAACAGCAAAAACTAACATAATGCTTTCTAACCGTTACTCATCTATATAGGAAATGAGGGGAGGCAATATTCCTTAATTCCCATCTTAACTTCCAGATTGGAGTTTACTGTTTAAGCCTTACTAAAACCCAGAATAATTTTCTGAGACTTTATTTTAGCCTCCACCACCATCCTCAAGTACCAGTCATTTTCTCTGAGTTAGTAAAAGCTCTTATTACACAGAAATGTGGCTCTTAAAGTGATTATTGATTCTTAATGTTGGATGAAGAAATGGCCATGTGAAAAACAAAAGTTGGATTAAAGATATCTTTGCCTTCAAGTCTTGTATTGAATATGTTCCCCTTTTTTTCAGCGGTGTGGAGAAATCTCATTTGATAGCCCAGAGCAGAATGCCAGATGTGTTCGCATGCTAGGTAAGTGGCATCCATTCTCATATAAACTGGGTTTTGGTATAAGGAGAAACAAGCACTGTTCAACAAGCTGAGAGCGGGGAGCTCCCCAGAAGAAGCTCTGCATTTGAGGTTGGTTGATAGCCATAATTCTTCTGGATGTATAGTTGGTTGTAGTGTAACTGATATGAATACTGAATATACTGTACATGAGCACTGATTGATTATAATGAGTCTTGAGTTCACTTAGAAACTTGACAGGGTGATTTCTGACTGTTGGTTATGAAACCTACATGCAGATTGCTCTAAAACATATACAGTACAGCTTGAAACATGTGATTAATTCTTTCATATCCAGGCATGCTAAAGAGTTAACTGAGAAGTAAGAAGGAATCCAGAAGCCCAGCCTTTGTGGATCTGAGAGGGGATTGTTGTGGCACTTGGTGGTTTAAAAGGGGGTTTAATCTTTTGTCATCTGTTTAATTATTGTTAGCCACCAGAGTTATTTTATATAAGATGGGTGGCCATACAAATCTTTTAAATAAAATAACCAGAGAGAGGCTAACCACCCAATATTTTTTATAAGAGAAAAAGACTTCCTTTGTCTGAAGCAAAAGTTCCAAGATTTAACCATTTATGAATTTTTCCCAACTATTTCCAATATTCTAGGCATTTGAATAATCTGCTACTTCTATACCAGTAACCACACTAGAAGCATTATCCCAGTGACTTGCAACCTAATCTGTCAGCTTCCCCACTGACTTTCTGGGGAAGCTGGCAGGGAAGATCGCAAATGGCAATCCCGTGATCACAGGGCTCTACAACTGGTCGTAACTGCGAGCCAGTTGCCAAGCGCCCAGATTGTGATCACATGACTGCAGAGGTGCTGGGAGGTGGAACTCCAAGGACCGGTCATAACTGCCATTTGTTCAGTGCCATTGTAACGTTGAATGGTTGCTTAACGAATGGTTGTAAGTCGAGGACTATCTGCATGTCGTCGGGCCAGGTTTCTTGTGGGACTGCCTCTTCCTGAGAACATCTACATATCCCACTAGATTGGATAGGGTGGGCTCACTCCAAGTCCCTCTCTTCAATATTGTCATCTGGTGGGACCTTGGAAGTGAGCCTTTTCTGTAACTGCACCTACCTTGTGGAACAGCCTCCCCACTGAGGTGTGGCAGGCCCTTACTCTCCTTGCTTTCTGGAAGGCTTTTAAGACTGGGTCAGGAATGAAGGGGAGCCCAGCCTTTGTGGTTCTTAGATGGGATTGCTGTGGCACTTGGTGGTTTAAAGGGGTTTTTAATTTTTTGTTGTCTGTTTAATTATTGTTAGCCACCCAGAATTATTTTATATAAGATGGGCAGCCATACAAATCTTTTAAATAAAATAACCAGGGAATGACCACTCAATATTTTTTATCATATCATTGATAAAAAGACATATCATTGTCCATCATGATGTAAAGGCCACTGATAGGGTAGCTACTTATAAATCACCAAAGAAGAGAATGTGCATGAAGGAAGGAAGGAGTAACTGACTACTTTGGATCTACATTAAACTTCTGGGGAAATGCTTCACAGTAGGATTCTGAGTTATTACTGAGTTAAAAACCACACCAGCCTTTGAATGGCACGCTGAGGGCAACAGTGTAAAAGAGAGCAGGATCACATAAAAAGATTTAAGATATAGGTAGGAGCAAATATTAAATTAGAATAATATATTAATATTACTATTCCGATGAAATTAAAGTAATAATATTACTTGATTTCCAGGTTTAAAGTAAATTAAGTATGTGAGAAAAAAAGAAAAATATTCCCTGTTATATATACTCTGATACACTTATGCATACATATGAAGAGGAGGCAGCAACTGGAGACAGAGAATAGGGTTGTAAGAGCTATGAAGGAGTGAAACGATGTACTATAAAGGGTTGTTTTAAGTTGATTTAGTCAATTCTAGTTGAATCAAATCAGGTGCCCTTGAATTGCTTCAGGGAGATTTGGAGGCAATTTGGAGATTTGATAGACTTTCTGGTGATTTCTGATTTTAGAATCTGAAACAATGGTGTGGCTTTCTTTGTGTGTACATGTGTGCTTACAATGCTGAGAGTGAGGTTGAGGGCAAACATACTTAGCCAATGAGTTGCTGTGTTCCTTTTTGCCTAAGTCAAGTGAAACTATGGAAGTCAGTGAATCAGTGGTTGGAGGTCAGCAAAGGCTTGAACAAACTGAATTTCAGAGGGAAATACTGTAGATAGGAGGGACAGCAGTACAGAATTTAATCCGTTCCGTGACTCTGGTCGCAAACCGATTTGTTCGCAACCCGAA